TCAGCTTCAGTGTCTGTCAAACCTCCACCCTACTGTGACACATCCAGATGGAGCGAGCCCTGCAAGGATGTCTTTAAGCAAATGGTTGCTTTGGAGAGAAAACTCTTTCATTTAATCTAATCAGATTAGATTAAAATGGAACTTGTTTGTATGATTGGACTGAGCAAACATTTTTGCATTTTTGTGTTTGATTCCTGCTTCCAGCGTTTGGATGTGAGTTCTGTGGGCTGATGTGTTTCTCTCTCAGGTGTCTTCTAAAGCATGACCTGTCCACATTCTGAACTAAAGTTGTTTCTTAGTTTTGACTGAGGAGACCTTAATCAGATGCGGACATCAGTAGATGTCTTCATACGGACATCTTTGTTTACATCATGTCTCTTTTAAATGAGACATTTTTCATTCTTCATTTATTTGGAAATGTTTTCCACTCTGAGAGTAAAACTACTTTTCTATATTCTGTTTTTCTACTTAATTTAATCACTTCCATTTAGTTCACATGTTGTCATGGAAACACTGTGTTTAACTTCAACATTTGAAACAAATGTACCTTCTTGAGATGTTTATGATACCCCAAACCTAAAACAGGTGATGCATTCAGGCTCCTCTACCTCAGGAGGATTCTCCATCACAGATGTAATGTTGTATCAGTTTATTCAGAATTAAGTTAATTAATGTTCTTTGGTGCTGCAGTGGCCTCTCATTTTATAGATGTTTTCTTTTAAGACATATTTAGTTATTATTATACTGATTCTTTTAGAGTGAAAACATTTTTTAAATATATATTTAATGTTGTCTTACTGTTTGCTTTAAACCTTTTGTATTGAAATCTGTGATATTCTCTCAGTTCCTGCATTTTCTTTCTGTTTTTGATCTTTATTTTCACTCCATGACTATTTTTGTCCTTTTCTCCGACTTGATGCATGACAGCAAACAACAAAGCGGCTCCTTCTCTGTTTCCTTCTTCTTTCTCTCTCCATGCAACCTTTCCTCACCTTGTTTTAGCTCTACATCAGCTCTACTTGCGTTTGTCAACAGCCATCTATCCCACTGAACATACATTTTGGAGACAGTTATGAGGGGGGAAAGGAGCATAAAATAACCCTGCCGGAGAGGAACAAAGAGCCGACAACGATGGAGACGAGGCTCTGAGACAAACGGATCAGAGCCGGAGGATCTGGGTTGTGCAGATGGTGCGTGAGCGGGTCCATTGTGTGCGAGTGCATATGTGTGGAAGGATGCGAGCGCTCCCGCCCGCCGTTGGCTGCATCTAATTGAAAGCTCATTGGTGTAATTGAAGCCTCTCAGCTCTGCAGCTCCTCGTGTTAAAGACTGGGACCAGATGTCATTCAGCTGTCTCACATCTCCTGCCAATCACTAATGCTCCACCGTCTCTTCCTCACCAGCGCAGATGGAGGACCGACAGATTCCTCCAAGAGACGCGCTCCTCCGCCTGCTCTTTCCAAATCCTCCCAGAGCCGATTTGTCAGCGTGAATTTAAGGAACACGAGGTGCTGAAACGGGAAAAACCGTGAGCAGTGTGCGGCTTTTAGAGAACATGACAGAAAACTGGAGGTTAAACTCTGGCAGCGCACTCCTTCATGCTGATGCTTCACTTCATCCTGCTTTCTTAATCAGAAGAACCAAATAGTGAGACGATCTGGCGATGGAGGAAGAACCATTACTTAGTAGTAATACTCCAGACTTAACCTCACAAAAATCTTTGTTCAACATCCTCGTTTTTAAACATAAAGTGAAATGATTCAATTTTAATTTATGGAAAAAAAATGTTTTATGGGGTTATGATTCAAGGAAAACCTGAGAGAGGGAAGACAAGGAATACATGCAGACTGGAAATTAAATAAAGGATAAGATGCAGAAAGAAGGGAGGGCGTGAAAGAAAAAACAGGAAGGAAGAAACAGAAGGAAAGACAAAAAGGAATGGATGTAGGCCACAAGAAGGAAAGACAGGAAAAGGAAGGCAGGAAGGAAACGAGCAAGAAAAAAGGAGATAAAAGAGGAAAGAAGGAAGGATACAAGTAAGGAAGAAGACGAGGAATAAGGAAAGGTAGAAAGTTAGGGAGACAATGAAATCAGGAATAAAGTAGGAACGCTTGGAAAAATTCTGGAAGATCCCATAAAATCTGCATGAAGAGGCTTTGAAGTAAAGAGGAGCTGAAGAAGAGAGCAGGAGGAGATGAGCCCGACCGTGTCAGCGTCTTAGCCCGCCTGAATCCAAAGCCTAAACCTGAAGCCTCTGATTGGATCTTTTAGGATTTTACTCCTAAACCTTCTCTCCTGTAACACTTTGTTTTCCTTTCAAATGCCAACCATTTACCCCTGAAGGACAATAAAAGGCTCCATCTTCGCTCCGAACCTGCGGATAACCCTCCAGTAGATGGCGCCAGCCCGCAGCGCTGCACACAAACCACCGCCTTCTGCCTTTTCCCCCTTTTCTTTCCTCCTTTCTTGTGATTCATCTATCCCTGACAAAGCCTCGCCGCTGCCGCTACACGCCCTGGGCACAACTCTTTGCCTGGCCTCATTAAAAGATCAAGACAAATCTTAGCAACGGTTAATAAATCTTCAGGGCAACGAGCTCTCTTTACTCCGCCATGCGAGTTCATCTGTTATGCTCTTTGGTCCTCTTTTAGAAGTCTGTGGAAATAAATATATTACAGAGAGGCGCAACAAAGAGTCCAGAGCTGTGGTAGAAGGTGGCGTGCTGACGGACGACTCACCGGCCATCTGCTGGATCCCGCTGAAGGCTCCCAGGTTGCCGGAGGAGGCGGCCTGCTGCAGCAGCTAGAGGAGACACACAGAGAGGCAGAGTGAGCCGGGCGAAGGCGGGAAGTCAAGCAAGCATCCGAAGCCGAGACTGAGAAGTGGTTAAGCTTCTCGGCTCAGCGCTCGGTGAGTAAATGAGCTGCTAATATAGTCTGATCGCTCCTCAAAGCCGCCGCCGTTTGCATTCCTGCACGGTTCTCCCCAACAACTTGTGCATGAAGGATCTAATCTCGCTGACTAATTAGATTCCAAAACAAATCAGGAATACTGATGCCGTCAAAAAGGACCCAAATTAACAGCAAATTAACATCTGGATGCCATTGTGGGAATTTCTGTTTGATAACGAGGAGGATGATTCAAAGACCAGAAAAATCTCTCAAATAAATCAATGTGCTGCTCTCCCTCCAGCGAACCAGAGGTTAGTTTAAAAACTGAAGCAAAATGAGTGAAATGTAGGATGAGGTAGAGGGGAAGAGAGTGAGGTGCGAGGAAAGAAGAAATGAGCCGACACTGATCAATTAGCCCAAACTCCAGGCGCTCCGATCTTCCTGCATCGATCCCAGAAAATCCTAAATAAAACCTAATCAGCCGTTTTGGAAAAAAAAAAAAATGGTTCCCTTCCTTTTGTTTTTTACTTAATGTTTTCAGTTTTCAGAAACATCCATCAAACAGTCGACGACTGCAAGGAAATCAGGAAGTTTCTATGGAACCTGAAGATCTGCGGCCTCCCTGGCTCAGTCGGGGTCAAAGGTCAAAAATGGGGCAGAAATGGCAAGAACTGATCCAAAACAAAAAGGTCCGTCTAACATCGAACACAGAAGCGGTGGTGTGATGGTTTGGGTAGAATGTCATGGCCACCAATGTGCCCCTGTGCAAGGCAGTCATCCGCCAGGTGTCCAGCCTGACTGGGTGGCAATGAAAGGGTCAACTAATGGAGGACTCTGGTTCAAGTGTTGCTGCTCTGCTAAAAGTAAGGCTAATTTTATTATTGTTTTCTTTTGGTTTCTCCCACTCTGATTAAGCTAAGTGTCGACCTATAAGATGAGAACAGAAGCTTAGTGAAGGGCCCTAAAAGAGCCTTCAGTTTAGTCCCGCCCCCCCTACATAAAACTAGTGCCAGCTGATGGTGACATCATAGCTGAAGGAGCTCTGCAGCGACACTGATATCATCTCTCATTGAAAAAACACTGTAGCTAAATATATCTTTACTTTTTTAGACGGAATTTTGAATTTTCAATGTTTAGTTTATCAGTTTGGAAAATCATAAATCTGATGTCGGTGATTTAGCTCCATACAATCCGCTCTTTAACTAATTCAGTGGTTCTGCTGAGCTCAGGAAGGAGCTCTTAACAAGTCAAGCACTAATGTCACTAATTAAAAACAGGAGTTTTAATTGATGTCACTGTGCTAATAATTTAACTCTCAGGATTGAAGGAACAAAAAAAAAAAACCCAGCGTCTCTCAAACTGAGCCGCTCTGAGGCAGGAAGTTCTACTGGATCCTGCAGCTCATGTCGGAGCGTCATTTAATGGATAAACGCAGAGAAACTGCTTCGTTAAAGAGGAACCGAATGATGGAGGATTTAAGAGCCGCTGCCCGGCCCCTCCCCCTCTGATGATAAATCAGACCAAACTTCCATCATTATTTATTTAGCCTTCAGTTTATCTCAGACTTCATGTTTTAAGGTAAGAGCTGAAACTGCCTCCAGATCAGGAAGAGAAATGCGGACGCCCACCAGCCGAGGTCATGGTTCAGTCCCATTCCCTGATATTTAAAGGTTCCACGCTCCTCTAACTATTACAAAAAAGTTCAAAAACAATCCACTGGACTATTGTTGGAAAGTTTGGAAACAAAGTCCCTTTTAAAAGAACCGGGTCTGTTTCTATTATCCTGTTGGTTTTATATTAGTTTGGGTTTTTCAGACCTGAATAACTCAGAAATCATCATCGGTTCCTGTTCGATGAGGACGCTACGCGTCTACTGGCTGGAACGCAGAGAGGAGGAGGATGAAGGTGAGCAACAGCTCCAGGAAATGATGTGAGAAAAAGGAAGAGGAAAGGAGGCAGGGAGGATTCTGGGAAATCTCTCTGGGCGGAGCACTGACTGTGGCTGCGTTGGCCACAGGGCTGCAGTTGGGGGTGATGGAGGAGGTGATGGAGGCGGGCGACGCGGCGGCGGCGACTCTTACAGCCAGATACTGCGGGGTGAGGCCGCCCAGGCCCGTCAGGCTCCCCCAGGTGGTGGCGCTGTTAAGCTGCTGCATCTGCTGCGCCAGCTGCTGCTGCAGACGCCGCTGCTCCTTGTCCTTCTGCGTGTCGGCGAACTTCACCACGATGGGAGACGAACAGCCCTAGAAGAAGAAGAGGAGGAGCAGAGAGAGGAGAGGACGGGTGGAGACAGAGGTGGAGGCAAGAGCAGAGGGATTAAGATTAATACTGTTTGCTAAACAGTTAAAGGCTCACATGGGTGATTCTCACCGAGGATTAGGGACGCTGAAAAAAAAAAAAAAGTAAAGTTTAACATGGTTAAAAAGTCAGAATTCAGACTTTAATCTAAGAATTCTGACTTTAATCTTATAATTCTGCCTTTTTTCTCAGAATTCTGACTTTTTTTTCCCTCAGAAATCAGACTTTTTTTTCTCAGAATTCTGACTTTTTTCTCAGAACTCTGACTTTTCTTTTCCTCAGAAATCTGACTTTTCTTTTCCTCAGAAATCTGACTTTTCTTTTTCTCAGAAATCTGACTTTTCTTTTTCTCAGAAATCTCACTTTTTTTCTCAGAATTCTGAATATGAACCTCAAAATTGTGACTTCAATCTCAGAATTCTGACTTAATCTCAGAATTTTGGATCTTAATGTAGACGGGCACCATGAAGGCAGAGATGTGAGAGCGCTCAGCTTCACTGACAAAGATGTGAGTTGTTTGGCAGGGACAGTAACACATTGGTGGAAAATGATGCAATTTTTGGAAAATGAGGGAACTTGTTACGTGACCGAGGGGTCCCTGGTGATGCTACTGTATTTCATTAATGGAAGCGCAGAAGGTGATTAAAACAAGAGAGCGAATTTCTAAAACAGACATGGCTACGGCTTAATGCTAACATGTTTGTTAGCTGTCATAAAACTGTCAGATTTCTGAGATTTATATCAGAATTGTGAGAAAAATGTTTTCTCATATTATACTGAAATAACATAAAAAAATATTTTTTGGTTTTTCAGTGGCCCTAATCCGTACAAACCCAACCTATCAAATGTCTGTAAAGATTTTAGGGGCATACTCACAAAGAACTCAAAATAATCCACTTTTATCAGGACAATCATTATTTCTAATATTTGGCACAGATCATTGTTTGTTACCAAAATAAGTTTTTTTATTGTTTTTGGAGTCACAAATTCATAACCGTAATGCAGGGACAAAAAAAACAGGGACAAAAAAAAATGCTTTCATCTCAATTCATCATTATAAATAATCTAGCCGGTTTATAAAAAAATATCATACATTTGTTTAAATATACATAAATTAATAAAATATGATGATATATATAATAATTTACTGTTATGTCATTCTGAATATTTTAATAAAAGTGATGCAACTCTTATTACTGTTGTGCTGCGTTCAAAGTCCTGTAATATTCACAGCATTTTTTAAAGTCGTAGGGAAGCGGCCGTTCCAAACGTTGCATTTCCGAATTCTCCAGAGTTGTGCACGACTTTACACGAGTGAATAAAGTGAATGTGATTGGTCGATTATCAAGAGGGCGGGATTGTTGTGGCAGAAGGTTCACAAGCAAGTTTAGTTGTGGTCGGTTTCTCTGAAGCATCTTGCTAACCAGTTAGCATCTTAGTGCTAGCAGGTTCCCAATG